TTGGCTTTCCTTTGCCTACTTTTCCTATAATTTTCTGGTTAATCCTTTTTATCTCTTTACTTCTGTTTTATCTTATTCCTATGCTGTATGATCCTCACCTATTCTTTTTTATACTGCTTATAGATTAAGTCTTTATTTCTGAAAGTGGTTGTATGTTTTCCTTTAATTTATTTCCTGAGTTTTTGCAGGTCTAGTTTCATTTGATCCTATTAATTCGCTATCTGATTTGCACTTTTCAATTTACGTTTTATAGTTTTCCTCAGAGTTTTAAGCTTCATTAAGTCATTTAATTCATGTTAGAATACTGGGATATAATTTACAACTGCTTCTGCATAAAGGCAATTCTTGCTATTTTCTTTTTCTTTTTTTTTTTTTTGAGTACTTCTCTACAGATTTGGTGTTTATTGCTTTTTAGTTTTTCATATTTAAGTGAGCTGAACTTCTCTGGACCAGACAACTTCACAGAGAGTTCCTACAGAAGGGGGGTTTCTTGCCCAAGGTCTATTGCTACTGAATTGAATGGCCTCTTCAAAATATGATGTTTCTGTGAAGCCATGTCTTCCGTAATTCTCTGAATCTCATCTGGTTTATCTCAAGTTTTGAGCTCCCCCAGTTTCTTACTGGTCATTGCAAAAGGAGCCATTGCCCTCACCTGTCACAGTGTTTCCTTCACTTTTAGAAAATCGTGCTTTTTGATATCTACCACTTCCGGGCCTTTCTGGGCGCCTTCCACCTGTTTATTCATCGACTGCCCATGTAGGTGCCCTGGGTAATCTCTGCCTCATTCCTGACACTTCCCACTACGATGTACCACTGCTAGGCTCCCTCTGCATTCCCAGATCTCCCCAATACATCGTTGTGGGCCTCAGCACAAGTTCTGGATGTTTCTGTTGTTTTGGCTAAACTTACAAAAAGCTGGGAGCTGTGGGTATTCTCTGCCTCCTGAGTTTGCTTAATATGTGGCTTCTATGTGTGTGCTTAAGTTTTTTGTTTGATTCTCATTGTTCTAAAAATCACACAAAGCAACAATGTGGAAAGCTTGAAAACTAAGCTGCCACTATGTTCTTAAGAAATCCAAAGTCTTCAAATTTTAATTTTTTAATATGTTAAAATCCAAAATGGCAAAATAACTTTTAAACATGTATTTGTGTCTCTAGCTTTCTCATATTCTTCTCAAATCCGAACATTATGTGTTAAATCCTAAAGTGTCATGAACACAAGTGATTTTTTGACTGTCATGAACACAAGTGTAAAGCTCTAACTTATAGCTTTATTTGCATGAAACAGAATAGAAAATGGAAGTATATACGCATGATGTTACTTGCACAATGTCACAGAGCTAGTAATGTTAGCTCAATTAGGGCTGAAATCCTTGTTCTTTCACCCCTAGTGTTCTGCTGTACCATCTAATCAATTGAAAACCAAGCATTATTTAACAGCACTCAGCTTCCAAGGAACATCCTATTGTATCAAAGTCATGGAGGCCACGTGTAAGAACTTTCTATGTGCTGTAGTCAGACTATTACTAAGCTATTCTTTTTTTGGTTTGTAAAAAAAGAAAAAAAGAATATCTTTTATAAAAGAACAATGTAACCATTTGGGAACAAGAGAATAAATTGTTCCCTAACAATGTTATCTGCTGATGTTTTTAAAAGATCAGAAACAGCCTAACTTTTCTTGAAGTTCTTATTTTCCACATGAACACCACTAAGGACATTAGCAGAGATGTCCAAAGCTTTGCAGAGTGCAGTTATATAGAGCCAACAGAGGTTCCAAATTCAACTTGGGGAGTTCTTTGAAGACTAATGCTTTTGATTTTCCACCTACTACTTTCTTCTGTGGTCCCCAACCCCTGGGCCACACACCGTTACCAGTCCTGTCCGTGGCCTGTTAGGAACCGGGCCGTACAGCAGGAGGTGAGCGGCAGGAGAGGGAGTGAAGCTTCACCTACATTTACAGCTGCTCCCCATCGCTTGCATCACTGCCTGAGCTCTGCCTCCTGCCAGATTAGCAGTGCATCAGATTCTGCATTATGGTGAGTTGTATAATTATTTCATTATACATTATAATGTAATAATAATAGAAATAAAGTGTACAATAAATGTAATGTGCTTGAATCATCCTGAAACCATCCTCCCCCTCTTATCCCCTGGGTAGAAAAACTGTCTTCAATGAAACGGGTCCCTGGTGCCAAAAAGGTTAGGGAACATTGAACTTGGTAAATATAACTGGCTCCTCTTTTCCTTACTATTCTCCTGTATATGTTAATATAACAATTATATGTTAATATAAACACGGCAAAAGGATACTTTAAAAGCAAAGAATTAACAAAAATCTGCAAAGACACAAATTTGGGTTTTAACTCCTAGATAATATTTTAGGCCTAAGCTAGACTCGCATAATCCTAGCACCATCTCCCATTGGGGTGGGAAACCTACGGCCTCAAGGCCACATGTGGCCCTCCAGATCGCCAAGTGTGGCCTCTCAACCAAATCCAAACTTCACAGAACAAATCCCTTTACTAAAAGGATTTGTTCTGTAAAATTTGGATTTAGTCAAAAGGTCACACTCAAGGATCTAGAAGGCCACATGTGGCCCCAAGGCAGCAGGTTCCCCACCCCTGCATGAGAAAGTCTTTTCCCCTCCATACTCCAAAAAAAACTTTGGACACAGGTTGAGCCAAGTAAAACTGCCTATAGAATTCAAAGTGGTTACTGTTTTGTTTGACTTATATTGAACTGATATGGATAAGTGTTCAAAGACAGATAACAATAATAAAGATACTGACAGGGATGATGATAAGAGCTGTACGTACGTTAATATTAAAATGGCTTACAATACTGCTATGTGTAGTCTTGTCTATAACACTATTATATAATGTCTATTGGTTCTGAGTCTAAATTTAATCTAATATATATCAAATTCCTTCCTAGGTTTATAACAAATTTGTCATTATAAAGTAAACTAAACATATTTCACACTAATTGGAAGAAAAGCTCTAGATTTCAAATTTTCAAACTCATTATAAGTGATTTTAAATGTCTTCCAGAAATGCAGAATTAAAAATATTAAAAGGACAAGTTGTTACTCTTATGATTTATGAATATTTACCATACTATACTAAAACTTTTATAAATTAACAATTATGTTCTGAGATCTTCATATTTTATCTTGCAACAAGAGAAAAAAATTTAAAGAATAAGTTTATATCTACCAAAACCATAACTATTTTTATTATCTGTCATAGGTATTTATAGTAGAAATAACTATTAATATTAAACAACTCAGCATAACATCTAAAATAAACTCAAAGAGCAAGAATTACTGAGTACTAATTAATTCCACTATATATTTAACTGTGCATCAAACCTGATGATCGAACACCAATTTCGGCCCTCCATCAGCAGCAGTATCCTCACTTAGTAACATCCATGTGTTTGTGTCAATGTCATAACGATAGAAATCACTTTTCAGAGATTTGCTGTTCCTCACAGAGGAATCCAAATAACGCCCCAACGTGTAGATTTGCCTCCGCTGAATGTCAATGCACATTTTATGACATGATCTGGCGCTAGGACCATTCTGTAGAGAGGGAAATAAAAAAGAAGGAAAAAAAAACAAAATAAATTAAATGCCCTTTTTTGTTACCTTTCATTAAAAGGGTTTTAAGAAATGCAAGTCAACTAATCTGAGTCCAACACTAGGCTTAAATCTCAAAAGGAAAGCAAAAGCAGCCATAAGCAGTAGCAGACACAAATATTATCTTACAAATGCTTAAAATTCAGCAGGAAAGATCAGATGAACTGTTCTGCACCTTATGGCACTCTGTTTATAACATCTACATGGCTTCCACCATATACTGCACTGCATTTCAGTCACTTGTGCACAGAGTTCAATTCCCTATGACATATCAATCTACTTTAAGACACATTTGGTCCTGAAAAATATTTTTGTATCTCTCATCAGAATCCAGCACAAAAGAGGTACTGCAAGAATATTAGAAACAGTGAATTTCAAAATTGGAACAAACATTAATAAAATCTCCAGTTTAATTCTATTCTTTTGAAGATAAGGAAATATAAGTCAAGAGAGGAAAAGTATCAAGCTAGTGAAAGAAGCAGAATAAGAATCTAGTCTCTGACTTCTTCATCTATCCTTGACATTATAAAATTGACTCTCCTGATTGAATAAATAGTACAGCTACATCAAATAAAAAATAATTAGGGAACAATATCAAGAACAGTATATTATCAATAAATTTTTTTTTTTTTTTTTTTGGAGACAGAGTCTCATTCTGTTGCCCAGGCTAGAGTACCATGGCGTCAGCCTAGCTCACAGCAACCTCGAACTCCTGGGCTCAGGTGATCCTCCTGCCTCACCTTCCCTAGTAGCTGGGACTACGGGCATGCGCTACCATGCCCAGCTAATTTCTTTCTATTTTTTAGTAGAGACAGGTCTCGCTCTTGCTCAGGCTGGTCTTAAACTCCTGAGCTCAAACGATCTGCCCGCCTCGGCCTCCCAGAGTGCTAGGATTACAGGCGTGAGCTACCGCGCCCCTGGCCATATTATCAATAAAATTAATTAGTTGAGATTACTTATATCACAGGATTGAATAAAAAGTAAAAAAAAAAAAAAAAAATATTGTAGCATAGCCAAAGAGTTCACGGTAGGGAAAAATAACTTCAGTTGGGCAGGGTTTGATTAGTTGAAAGGGGGAAAGGAAAGGGAACTAATGTTTGCGAAACATCTCCTAAATTCTGCCTATGTTATTACTGTGAATGTGTGTATGTCTCATTTAATCTTTATAACAACCTTATAAGGAAACATTATGACCACTTCACAGAGTCTAAGTAATTTATCCACAGTCACGAAATTAGGAAGATGGCGAATCTATGTCCTAGTGTAACCAGAGCCAAAAACTGTGCTCTTTTCACTACTATTTCATATTACTTTTTCCAGAGGAGAAAAAAAAAAGACAAAAATATATTTGTTAATACAGTGTATATGGTTATGACTGAGATGAAGAGTTCTTGCTGCAGAAATATAGAATTGAAGTTTAGTGGAAACAGGAAGCCTGGTGAATGACTGACAGAGGAGATTGAACGTGATCTTGTAGGTAATAAAAAAACCATTATAGATTTCTAAACCAAGATATAACATAAAAAAGCAGGGTTATAAATAATCTAGCAGTATTAATTAGATTAAATGAAGGAATATGAGGCAGGAAGAACAGTTTGACAATGAGTGTTATGAATCTAGATATTAAGCTGACTTGAATGTAAACTTTAGTATTTGTACTAATTATTATTTTTAAACTTATTTCAAAAAATTTTTGTCAAGGAAAATGTTGAGCAGATAAAGTGAAAATTTTATCTCAGAAAGGATTTCCTCCGTAATTAAATAATCTCAAAAACAAAGATAGAGTAACATATAATAAATCTAAGCCATAATTCCTAAAGTGTAAGATTTGAATTTTTCTTAATTTGAAATTTTAACAGAATAGAACATCTTGCTTTATTTAAATTAACGCAAGTACTACTAAAACAATGAGCAGATTAAACTCTAAGCACGAAGAAAAAATGGAAATAGAATAGAAAACATTTAAAAATACATAAAATTAACAAAGCTGGTTTTTTGAAAGACTGACAGAATTATAACTAACAAGACTAATTTTTTACAATGGGAGAGAAAATACAAATTGCTAATACCAGAAATGAAAGCAGGATTATCACTACAAAAATCTCTAGAAATTAAAAAGAAAATAAGAGACTACTATGAAAAACATAGGTAAAATTCGATGATGTACATAAAACAGACATATTCCCTGTAAAAATATAACTTACCAAGATGACATGAGATAAAAGAGGAAAATCTGAAGTCATTATATGTATTGAAAAATTTAATTCATAATTTATAATCTTTCCATAAAGAGAACTCCAGGCCCAGATATCTACATTGGTAAATTTCATCAAGTGCTTAAGAAAAAGGCAGCATTAATTTTAGACAAAATGTTTCAGAAAATAGAGGAGGAAAAATAACTCTACTTTTTAGCTATATTCTCTTTCACTCATAACTTATTTCATGAGGACAACATAACACTGAAACCCAACAACAACAACACTACAAAGGAGGAGGAGGAAGAGCAGCAGGAGGAGGAGCAGGAAGAGAAGAGGGAGAAGGGAGGAAGAAAGAGGGAGGAGGTAGAGAAATAATTTACAGGTGGCTAGTACGCTTTATGAACACAGACATAAAACTAATCTTTAACAAAATATTATCAAATATCAGTAGCAATACATGAAAAGAATACTTTATAACTAAAAGGGGTTTATCTCAGGAATGCAAAGTTGATTTTACATCTGAAAATTAATCAGGATAATTTGCCACATTAATAGAATAAAAAAGAAAAAACATGATTATATCAATACATATAAAGGAAAAGCATTTGATAAAATTCAGCACATATTCATGATAAAAACTCACAGCAAAAGAGGAATAGAAAGAACTGCTTTGATCTGATAAAGGTGTAAGAAAATATGAAATCTAATTTTTCTTAATGGTGACACATTGAGTGCTCTCCTTCTTAGATCTGAAACAAAACAAGAATGCCTTTTCTCACCACTTCTATTTAACATTACTCTGGAAGTCCAAGTCAGTGCAATAAGGAAGGCAATAAAAAATAAAAAACCAAAAAGTTATGATGGAAAAAAGAACAAAAGGAAGAAGTAAAATGACCGCTTAAGACATTTTAAAAAATAAAAAAAGAAGCTAATAGGAATAATAAGTGGACTTAGTGAAGTGACGTGATACAAAGTCAATATTTAAAAACCAACTGTACTTCTCTATATTATTACCAGCCAACCACACGGACAATAAAATTTTTAAAATTCCATTTATAATAGCACAAAAAAACCCCACTGAGATCAATTTAATTAAAATACGCAAGACCTCTAACCTGAAAACTCCAAGAGTGCTGAGAGATAATGACTAAATGGAGATTAAACTTTGTTCATGATTAGAAGACTAAGTATCATCAAAATAACAATTCTCTCCAAATTGATTTATAGATTCATCACAGTACTCATCATAATCCCAACAGTTTTAGAAACTGAAAAGATAATTCAAAAATTTATATAAAAATGTGAAGGACCTAGAAAAGCCAAAAAAATTTTGAAAAAGAACCAAAAGGTCTTACATTACCTGACCTCATGAACTACTATAAAGCTACATAATCAAAGGAGTGTCATACTGGTATAAGAAGAGACCAAAATAGAATGAAACAGAATTTAGAGTCCAAAAGGAGACATATATGATGAATTGATTTTTGGCCAAAGCAAATCAATGGCGAAAGAAGATGGGGAGCAACCGAAAGTCTCATACATTGCTGGCAGAAGTATAAAATGGTACAACCACTTTGGGGAAAAGGTTTAGCAGTCTCATTAAGGGATGAGAAAAGGGTGAAAGTTTTATGAGTAACTGGATATTTTCATAATCTTAAAATGTCTCCCCACAAATTACTTATTAATTATAAGGTAGAGAAATCTAGAAGGTACCTCCTTAACCAAGTGATGAAAGCTAACATCAGAAAAACTTACATAATGTGTCTCATGATATGATATACTGAGGAGGAGCTGATGTCATCCATGGGTTATTCCTGCTAAAAATGTATAACCTAAATTCAACCCTAAGGAAACATCAGACAAACCCAATTGAGGGATTCACTACAAAATAACTGTCCTGTACTCTTCAAAAATATCAAAGTCAAGAAAGAAAAAGAATGGTTAGGGAACTATTCCAGACTAAAGACAACTAAAGAAGCATAATACCAAAATGCAATGCATGATTACAGAATAAATCCTGGGTCAGGGATGGGGAGCTAGAGGGTGACAATAGGATACCTGTAAAGGACATTACTGAGCAGTATTGGGATGATTGTCTATATCTGAATAGGGACTATGGATTAGATTAAAGCAGCAGTTCTCAGGGTAGTCTGGGGTTTCCAAGGCACTTCAGGGAGTCCATAGGTCAAAGTCATTTTTACAACAATACTAAGATAAAAATTTGTCTTTATACTCTCATTCTCTTTTGAGTGTATGTGAAATTTTCTAGAGGCTATATGATTTCTGATATAGCAACTAAATGCAGAAGCAGATATGAAATCCAGATGCCTTCTATTAAGCCAAACATTAAAGAGATTTAGAAAGCTATAAAATAGTACCACTTGACGTATGATGGTTGCCTCAAGAAAAAAGACCTATGCAATTGTTTGAGTTGTGAGCTGGTGTAGTTGCTTTTTCTATGGAACATTATATTTACTTGAAAGAACAACTAATGATCAAAGAGTGCTTATTCAGACATTATGGCAGATGTTTTCTCAAAAATGAGTGAAGAAATCAGAATATCACTTTGAAGGAAAACTGACAAAATTTATTGCCCATGACATAATGTCTGTTTTAAAGCAAAAATTAGAATTTTTGAAAACTTTTCTTAGGCACAATGATCTTAACACTTTTTCAATACTTAAGAGCGTTTTCTAATGAAACCAATACTGATAGTAACAAATGTGTGTTTTTGGATATTGTATAATAAAATATGCCAAATATAATAAAAATATTTGGAAGATGTGCATAACTCAGGGAACCAATATTTTTCAAGTGACCAAAACATGGGCAAAAAAAATCATGCATGGGTAAAAGACACATTCAGAAAGCAAGGCTGACCAATGGATTTTAACATAACAATACAAAATGCTGATATGGTTTCAGAGTCTATACTGCAACTACCTTTAAGAAACAACCACTTGTCATTTGGGGTTTGGAATCAAAACAGAACATATACAATCATCTGAAAAGGTGACAGTAAATGCAGAAGCAGATATGAGAATCTAGCTTTCTTCCACTAAGCTAGACATTAAGGTATTTATAAAAATTCAAAACAATGTTACTCTTCTCACTAAAATTTTTAAGTTATTTTTAATAAAAATGTTTTATGTCAGCATTTAATAGGTTTATTGTTATTTTAAATTACTTGATAAAAATATTTTTAATGTTCTCAGTTTTAATTTCTAACATAGTCATTTTCAATAGATATAACCCAAATAAACTAAGAACACTAAAGGGATTTTTTTTTTAAGTGTAAAGGGATCCTGAAACCATAAAGTTTGAGAAGCACTAAGATAAGTACACTCCAACAAGAAGAGTCATGTGTAATTCCTTTCTACTCTATAATTCCATGAATGAAGTCAGAAATATGTAAGAAAACAAGAGATATGCTTTAAAAATATATACAAAAGAAAATCTTCCCACCCACCCTTTATGAAAAACTATAATCAAGCCTTTTATAAGATATCTCTTGCTGTAAATTTCATTTTCATTAATAATCACAGCTTATAGGCACATTAGAAAATACTGAATTTTTATAGTTAGCCTTAAAAAAGAATATAGGAATTGGATTAAGGCTAATAAAAATGGTCTTCTTCATTAGTTGCTTTAAAGAACGATGCATTTGTTTTGAACCTATAAAAACCTATTTGCATATCTATATGAACATTTAAAATAATTATTCTCTGAGCCATTCTCTTATCTTTCAATCTGCTAAATGTGCTATTCGATACTAATTTAAGTAAATTAAATTAATCTTGCTTTTAAATTGTACATCATGCTTTTAAAATACATGCCCTTAGGTATCAACCAACAATAACTTGTACTCACTAATATAGAAAATAAAATGAAATATATGAAATACTAAACTGTTCAATTTTCAAAGGAATGAGCATTTATGTTAGCCCCATATATTATCATTCGATTCACAGGTAGATCAACAAAAGGTTTTTCGGTATCTATATGAAGAAATAATAGATAAACATAATACAATAAATACAATAAACCTGACCTCCAGTACTAAGTCACCACTTTACTTATCTCTACTGACTTCAAAATAGCAGAAACAAAGTGTTCGCACCAAAATGATCTCTATATTTTTCCAGCACTAGTTTTAAAATAACTGATTGCATCCCAAATGTTACTTACAACATATGTATATGGTATAAAAAAAATAGGATGAAGTTATCTACCCACGACCAGCTTCAGAAGCAGAACATTAACACTACCTTTGAAATCCCCTCTAAACCCCACCCCCTGCCCCAAAGCAGCCACTCTCCTCAAGTTTGTAGTTTATCATTCCCTTGCTTTTTTCCAGCATTAACTTTTCATTTAACTTACCTCATCTATTTACTCACCAAAAAGTAAACATGTGTGTCACATCCTTAAAATACATAAACTCTAAAGAATACGATTCATGCCTTTAAGGAATTCAGAGTCAAGACAGGGAAACAGGAATATAAATCATTATAGTAACCCATTCAAATACTAAAAGGGGTTAAGTGAGCACACCAAAAGAAGCTTTTAATTTTGCTTGAGGATGTCAAGAAAGGCTTCACAGAGAAAGTGAAGTTAGAATTGAGTTTTAAAGAATAAGTAGGTATTTATTAGGTAAAAGGTGGGGAGAGGACTCTGTTAATCCCACACAGGGAAAACAACTTTGCCAACAGACATAGGTAAGAAAGTTGAAGAATTTCAACAACTGTTAAGTATGGATGGCACGTGAAGCCTGGAGACAAAGCTAGAAAGGTAGCTGGGGACCAAATCTTGATGAGAAATTTGGAGTTTTTACTCTAAGCAAAAGGAACTGAGGTAAATAAATTGCTTCATTATTATTTTATTATTGTTGTTCCCCACAATTCCCTATATCTATGCTCTTGGTTACATGAGTAACCGACTGACTCTGGACTTGTTACATGACTTTTTTTCACCAATAAGACAAGAACAAATTTGATGGATTGCCCATGTCCACTTTGCAGCACTGCCTCTGCCATGAAAACAAGCCCCCAACTAGCCTGTGGGAAGGTGAGCACCTACGTAGAACACAGCCAAGTAGCCCCAGGTGAAGCCACCCAGATCAGCCAACAGGCAGCTGATTCCTAGACAAATGAGCCCAACCAAAACCAAAAGAATGACCCAGACAACCTGCAGACTCATGAGTAAATAAAAGCTTATTACTATATGCCACTGAAGGTTTGGGAGTGTTTATAATGCAATAGAATGTAAAAGATAACTGAAACAGTGACCAAAGCTAACCATAGGGTTTAAGCAGAGGTGTCACAAATATATTTTTTAAAGACTGTGTTGATGAATGAAGAATAGATCTGGGGATTAACAATGGAGACACAAAAGTTTAAGAAACCAGAAAGCTGAAATTACTGCCAAAAGGGAACAGAGAGGACTCTGGGAGGCTGAGGCAGGTGGATCGCTCAAGGTCAGGAGTTCGAGACCAGCCTGAGCAAGAGCGAGACCTCGTCTCTACTAAAAAAAGAAAGAAATTATTTGGACAACTAAAAATCTACATAGAAAAAATTAGCCGGGCATGGTGGCGCATGTGTGTAATCCCAGCTACTGGATTGCTCGAGCCCAGGAGTTTGAGGTTGCTGTGAGCTAGGCTGATGCCACGGCACTCTACTCCAGGCAACAGAGTGAGACTCTGTCTCAAAAAAAAAAAAGGGAACAGAGAGGAAAAGACATTTGAAACGTCTTTTGGATGCTGGAATTGTTGGAACTTAGGCAGTAATTAGATACATTCAGTGATGAAGAGGGAGGATTTAAGGATGAATCCTAGGCTTACTGCGAGAGTAATTATGGATGTAATCAACCTAGATTTAAAATAGTTTAGTAGAAATAAGTTAGGTATTTTTTTTTTAGATCTATCTTTATTTTTGAGGAGACAGAAATAATCATTTCAGAAAAAAGTACTTCAATACTGAAAAGGGAAGTCCTTTTTATATACTTTTACCAGGGGTGAGAAAAAGAAATCAGAATTTCAAGATCTTTTTGAAAAAATAAAAACTACCCAAATGATTAATCGCTGGAACACAGTTCCACATAAGTAAGAACCCAGTTCCCTAGGATTAAAGATACAGCACCACATCTTTGGAAATGGCCTTTCTAGATCAAAATCAGTGGGTTTTGAATTAGGCTTTTTATCCCCCTTCTCATTTGTGGCTTCTACTGTTTTGTTACAGTTTATTTTTCTTCATAATCTGAAACAGCTTAAATGGAGGGTGCAATAAAAAAGTTCTACAAAGATTTGAAAAAATAATAAATGAACTGATATTTGCTTTACGCCAGTGTATAATCATGCACTTGTTTAATTCAAAGCCATAAACCCAGGCCATCTTATTCACTATTCATCCTATCCATGTATATATGTATAGACAGACACACACATGCATACATATATACAATTTCAATTAAAAATAAAATATATATCATTCATGAAAACTGATAAACAGTGAAAGAGTAAGGGGTCAAAATAGTGAGATAGTGAGGGGCCAGAATATCAAAAGCATGTTTATCCAGAGGAAATAAAAGTAAGATGAATGCTGAAAATAAGAACAGAGGTGACAAGGACATGAGAAAAAATACAGATAGTTACAGACTAACATTTCTGGGCTAAAGTAGTTTAAAAACTAAATGATATAAAAATACCCATTTCTATTATCCCTATAAAATATTAATATTATTAGATGTGTTTCTATATCAGTAGTTGAAGAGCCAGGTATAGAAGCTGAAATTCAAGAGTACTTAAACTTGTTTACCACAAATTCTTTTGCTACCACTGCTGACAGACGTTAGAGAATACAATCGTGCAAAAAAAGAAGTGTACACCCACACGCCATTGTAATATAGATGTATGAAAAGTCTGAGAACTTGCCTCTTTCTCAGTGTCTCTAGAGATACATGTCCACTGGTTGTCCTTCACACTGTATGCCCAGAAGTCAGCAAGATCCTGTGTTCCATCCCAGCCACCAAACAAATAAACAGTCTCTATGAAAATCAGAAAAATATGTGTAAAAGAATGAACATAAGGACAAAATAAGCATAGGCACCCAGACCTAGCCAGTTGTTTCTACGGTTATTTAAGAAGGTACATCTAAATAAATTTTAAAATAAGATTTTAAAATTGGTAACTCTCCAAAATATATACTAGACTAGTATTTCCTAAACACGAATGCTGCTGCAGAACCACTATTTTGAG